GGGGGGGGGGGCTCTGTATGCAAAAAGGGGTGCAAATTCCAGATTAAAACCCAGACCAGTGGCAAAGCCAGCCAGCCAGGAGCTTGGCTACAGAGGCTGTAAAAGTGCCAGGGGAGGGGCAAGGGCGTGGGGTGGAGGGAGGGTGAAGTCGGGTGGGTGGGGAGGACCAGCTCACTCAGCCCACCTGCTCCTGGCCAGCCTCCTCCTGCAAGGTAAAATATCCTGGCCCCCAGCACCCATTTTAAAGGCACGGCCCCAATCAGGGTTTAAAGGGCCAGGAGCTCCCTGGGTCCCAGGGGAGGGGGACTGGAGCCCAGCGGGGTGCTCTGCTGTGGTGAGAGCCCCTCCAGCTCCCCCCTGCCCCGTGCCAACTCTCCGGCACCTTCATGCCCATTGCTTCAAGCTGGTACGCGCTGCCTGGAGCAGGCACGAGGCCTGGGGGTCTGCTCCCAGAGTGGCCCTGCAGCACAGCCAGCCTGCCCAGTGCCTCACTTTCCCCAGCTGAGAGATGGGCATCAAGCCCAGGGACCATGGCACTGAGGCACACGGGTGGGCAGAGTGACTCGGAGCCCAGTGGTGCCGAGTGTGGCCGGGTTAGCTGGTGGTACCCACGCTGCAGGCATCACCGTGCCCGCAGCTTCACCGGGCTTGGCCGTCCCAGCTCCAAGGTCTTTCTGCCGGCACCTGCCCAAGGCCAAGGGGTTGCGAGGGTGATGCCCACCCTGTCGCTGGCACAGGTCATTTGAGGCATTGCCCTTACAGGGGACATTGCCCCCCAGCCCTGGTGTTGCTCTGTGGCTCCATGGTGCTTGCCCAAGGCAGGCTTTGTGGGTGTACCACGGAGCGGGGTGCGGGCAGCCGTGGCCCATGCCCCCAGCAGAGTGCCTGGCACAGTGCCCAGCCCCATAGGACACTGCTGCTCTCCTGCTGGGATATAGGGGGCCGGGGGGGGATGGACATTCTGTTTGGGAACCACTGGTGTGAGCATAGGGACATGGGGGGAACTGGGGTGTGTGTTGGTACCTGCCTTGCCCTGGGTGCTGCCCACCCTTCCCAGTGCCAGCCAGGCACAGCGGTAAGGGCTGGGAGGGCCATGTGGGGGCATGCCGGGGCGGGGCGGGGATGCGGTGCTTAATGGGGTGTGGGGCCACATGACGAGCCAGGGCGCAGAGCCCTCACGCCTGGCCGGGCAGCCCTGGTTACTCATTTGGGAAAGGGCACGGGGGCAGCTGAGCCCAGTGGAGGCTGGGAAAAGTCTGGGCATGGCAGGAGCTGGCCCTGGGCTGGGCACAGGCAGGGTTCAAGGCAGGGCAGGGCAGGTTCAAGGCAGGCGCCGGTCGCCGGT